CTAAAGTGAACTATCTAAACACTCAGAGTCCTTTACCTCACTGAGCTGTAGTTATTAGCCTCTCAGTCTGACTGGAGAGGAATCTCCCTCCACATTATTGTAGAAACGTCTTCTTCTTATTGTTCTATTGTTATAAGTGTTCACTATAATTGATATAGAGGCAATTGTATAGGAAAGGATTGGACCAACGTGTAGGTTGACTTGCTCTCGTTTATTAATCTCCGATGCACAACACGTTACATCATAAAGGTTCCTACCCTATTATGCCTGATACTACATCCCCCTTTCTAAATAGGAGACCTTACCTGTGGAGAGGATGTGTGTGGACAACACAAGCCTCTGAAGCTGATATTAAACCATTTCTTAACTTGTATTCATTCTAATGAACAATACACGTATAACAGCATTACATCTCAAGTTTACCAAGATGGATATTATTAAAGACACTAAAGGCTTTTTCTAGGTCTTAACATAGTGCAAAATATGAAACACTGTAACAGCATATAGTTCTGTCTAACTGCAGAATTCTTATTAAAACATTCAACTGCTGTACTTCTTTTTATTCATTTATTTAGTTTTAACTATGGAGGGATGGGTGGACCTACCTGAACCCTCCAGCTGAGTGTTGGGGATTATCTGCCCCAATTGACCACTCAGTTTTCCCTGGCTATGAAGACGGCACAAAGTCTTTTTAGGATTTGCAGGAGTGCCGCCACTGCACCTCTGGCAGGAAACGTCTCTCACACACTGTTGCTTTTGCTGACTCCAGTCCAATGCTGGACTTCTGGGTGTGGCAGGAGTGCATTCGGACGGTGCCCACTCAACGATGTGAGACCTAGGGTGTGCCTGCTGTTGACACACTGTGCCCTTTCCTCCATGTGCTATCTTGATCCCACCATGTTCGCCGGGATTTGCAGTTGCAGCCATATCATGTGCTCTGTGTCTGCGAATCATAGTTTTGTCTCTGTTTTTGTCTGTAACTTTGTTCTGTCAATTTCAAACTTTATCATATCAGCCAACAATCCTGGGTTGAGCTGTGATGGAAATGCACAGGAACGAGTGGTCCTTATCTTCCTCCCCGCTGAGAAGCTCTGTGGGACCTGTATCCATTGCCCAGATGGATAAGCACGGTAGGCCAATGAGGGCAAGATATGATGCAACTTGATTTCTAAGGAGACTCTTTGATTGTCCTCCACAGGCCCCGCTCCGCTTCTCCACTCTGCTCCTGAGGGAAGTGGGTGACTGGATGTCCACATTTGACCTGGAAGTTTCCAGTCCTGCCCGCCAACAACTTTCCTGAACGGCTTCGTTATGCAAACTGTGGTCCATTGTCCTGAGCGCACCTAATCTCTGGCAAGTCAACTTGATTCGCTCTCCGTTTATTAAAAATCACGATGCACAACACCTTCCCCTAACCCTTATGCCTGATACTAACACCTTCTCTCCCCTGACCTCTCCACCCTGTCACTCAACCTTCCCTCATCCCAGACCAGCACCAGTCACTTTGCTACTCATCCTCTGCCTGCTACTGCAATGCAACTGTACTGTCAAACATCATTTTTACATTTTGCTCTAAAGAACAAAAAGGAATACTTGCACTACATGTCAAAACATTCCATGTTTCTGTCTGATTATGGTTTTAAATATATTGCTTAGTTTTTATACCATCTTTTATCTTCCAAAGTATTCTTTGTAAAGTTCTTATTCTATGTATGTCACAGAGTGGCAGCGCCGAAGAAACGGTAATTTCGATTCCCTCCTCGCATGGTATAAAATGTGGATTCTTGAAGGGGATAAAGTTGACCCCTTTGACTTTGACAACATACATCACTAACATTTGTAATAAATGCAATGCTATTTTATAAGGGGTACAACCTATAGTATCCAATGCTTTTTAAGTAAAAAAAAACAGGTTAAGAGCCTATAGTGAAAGAATGCTCATTGTGCACTGTCGCAGGCTGTGTACAATATAACGGCGATTGGCAGAGACAGCATTTTGCACCCCCCAAGGTTATCCATTGAGTTGACAACAAGTGCTCATTCCCAGGCGGCCAGGAGCATACTTTGATCATGTTTCCCGAAATCAGATAGGGTATTACTTGTGGTATGTCCATAAAAGATGAATCTAATAGCAGAGATTTTTGCTTCCCTGTAAAAAGTAGTGTGTTTGGATTTTGAAGGCTCCATTTCGAACCTTATTAAAACATAATTTTGATTATTTTGGAGAAAAGAGCAGGTAACCCATGAAATTCCTCTAACCATCAATAAGGCTGTTTTGTAGTCCATCAAAATGAGCTGGGACTGCTATGCTGGACCAAGCAAGAGAAGTGAAAGACATTACCGTTTTTTTATTTTTTTTCTTTTTTTTTTTTCCTTTTTTTTAGACCCCATTACATTTTTGTGAGATTAGCCCAAATAGCTGTTGTCACCTAGCGGCAAAGGTGTTAGGGATGTCAGAAAATTGTTATTGAAATTATTATTGACCCCAGACTGCCCCAGGTTTTGATTAAACCGTTTTTTATACAATCTTCTTTTTTCCCCCGCGTTCTCTTTTATCCCTGCCCCAGCCGTATCGCCCTTTTCCTGCAGAAGCCCCAGAAAGCGATATTATCCCCAAAGACACAGTACTCCAGGCAACCAGCCCAGAGACAAAAGCCAAAAAAGAGGCGCCGCTGGTGCGAGCCCCCGCCCCGCTACGTAAACAACCCCTCCGCGGCAGCTCCGCACCCGAATCTACCCCATAAACGGAGGCGCCCCGTGCACAAGCAGGCAAAGGGTTGACTCACCTTCCTATCTTCTTGTTGCTGCTTCTCTTTCAATTCCCACATATCTGCATTGGGATGATGATTCCCGCTGCCGCCCAGGAGTTATTCCCTGCTTACCCCCCTGAAGAGCCCTTGTATCAGAGATCCTCCCTAGCAAAACGAGGGCCGCCACTTTGTTTTTGGTAATCCCAATCAAGCTAAAGCGAAAAAGAATGAGCGTATGAGAACAAGGTAGATATTCTCTGCAATATAACGGTAAACTGGAATTTTAAGTCCGAATAACCATGCCGTTAACACGTAAATTCCAACCTGGCAGCTTTTCTCTTTGAAAAGATGACCCTTTGTTAAAAAAAGATCAATTAAGCGACGTGGATGGAATGGTGTTTGTCCAGGAATTTGTTTTATAAATACATGGCAACAGCTTGAAACCAGTGATAATGTTTTAATAAGAGGTGGACTCTCCCAAAGAAAAGGTAAAAAATTCACAAACAAAGCAAAAGGGAAAGACAAAGAGGGCTCGCGGGGGTCTCCTCGCAACACACACCACAACGCACCACAACACACACACACCACACACACACCACACACACACACAACACAAACCACACACACCACACAGACAAACACCACACACACACAACACACACACCACACACACACCACGACACACCACACGACACACCAACACACACGACACACACCACACGACACACACACAGACCACACCACACCAGCACACACCCACTTTTCCGAGCTCAGAAGAGATTGATAGATCATTACTTTTTAGTGTGAGCGATTTTGTCCCNATTTAAGCTTTGTTAGTTCCAGGTTTAATATGTGCAATAAGTTCATTTCAATAAGTTTTGCAATAAACATTGAACCAGTCCGGCCCTCGACTAGCACCCATTTTTGGGTGCTAGTCGAGGGCCGGACTGGTTCAATGTTTATTGCAAAACTTATTGAAATGAACTTATTGCACATATTAAACCTGGAACTAACAAAGCTTAAATGATTGCCTATAAAAACAACATTAAACATTAAATAATCAGTTGCATTCATTTCTTATGGCTCTATCTGCAGCTTTTCCAGAGTCATTTCTTATGATTACATTTTTCCAAAGGCCAACAACAGCTTCAACAAAACTATTTCCCTCAAAGAAAAAAACACACACGCCCTGTTGTCTCAAGAAACAAAGTGCAGAAGGAAACATCCATTAAACTCAGTGTGCTGCTCTGTGATGCTTGGCATCTCATCTTGGGTGCAAGGTCATCAATGTTTGGGCTCAGGCTCTGAGCTGAGGAGACCCTCAGGATGGAGTGAAGGTGTGCGTGCAATATACCGGAGGGCCAGATCTAATAGTAATTAGAAATTATCCTGCGGGCCGAAATTAAATCCACCAAGGGCCTGATTTGGCCCCCGGGCCTTGAGTTTGACACATGGGCTCTACATCTTTTACACACACAAAAAAGGGATTTATATCGATTAATTTGACCTGCTTCATCATCCTTTTATTACTTCCAGACCTCAGCAACATGCAACAATTAATTACCCGAAGCCTCATTCCTCAGAGGTTGGGATGTTGTGGAGAGATTGGCCATTTACCCCGAGAAGTCAGACCCATTAAAGGCTGCTCGAGCCAGTGTTACATGTCCCATAGGGTCTGATATCTCTCCATTAGCTTATTACAAAATACATCCTCTATTTACAAGTGGACAGTTTTTATTTTGCCCTAGCTGGAGATCCAGTGTTACTTAATTGGAAGTTCCATTTAACACATTTTTTTATTGAAATAAGCAGCAAAAGATGAGTCTGATAACCTGTTTTAGTATCCCACTTGATATGAATACATTCAGCTGTAATGAAAACTAAAAAGGATCATTTGATGGAAAGATTTCATTTGAATAATGCATTTTCAATGTAATGGGTTATTTTGTTGTCTGCAGTGGTCCATTTGCTCTGTTGCAACCAGTCCTTTATCAACCAATTATTTTCTTAACTAATAATATTGATTGTCTGGTTTATTAGACATTTGGAAGTAGTGAAAAATGACCTACTCAGATTTCCAAAAGGGCTTGAAGTCATATCTGTTTCTGGATTTCTATGGCCAAAAGCACACTGTATTGACATTTCATTTTGAAACTGCTCTCATATATCTTTCCCTAACTTAGTTAGTTTATTACTTACTGTATTTAATGTAATATTATCTCTGTTTTTGGGTATCTGTGTCTCCGTCAGGTCCTCCAGAACATCCTGGAAGCAGAGACTGAATATTCGCGGGAGCTGCAGAGTCTCCTGGGTTCATACCTGCGATCCCTTCACCCCACAGACAAGTACAGTTATTTTTACCCTTGTTATTGTTTTATTCAACAGACTGAGATCTTAAAGGAAGCCGTACACACACGCCAGCAACACTATTTTAACACGTCAAATTAACCGTATATAAGAACACGCTCATACTGTATATTTTATGCAACCTGGATGTTATATACAGCACCACATATGGCATCCTATTGTGTAAACATCACACTGCTTTGGAATAACTTTCCATATATATTGGAGCTTTGCAAAGATAGTGAGTTATTTATACCAACCTTTTATTACAAATGTCAGAGATCGTTTTTATACAATATTCTGTATATTAAATAATGAATGACTCATCTCTCCTCTCCTCTGCAGACTCAGCAGTCTTGACATCAGTCACATTCATGGAAATCTGGAGGAGATCTCCACCTTCCAGCAGATGTTGGTTCAGTCCTTAGAGGAGCATACCAAGTCAGTGCCCCCCCATCTACTTTCTGATAACGATGCTACTCAAACGAGTTAAAATATGATATCTGGCCAATAATTGTATTGTATTTATGGGGATTTCTATCAGTTTCAGAGTGGTATTGTTTAGTTTCAAGTATGTAAAACACTAGCATGCTGTTTTACTCAACACAATGCATCCTCCAGCTTCGTCACAACCTAATATTGCAGTTATTAAAGCTACAGAGACATCTGGTGGTAGACTGAAGTAACAACGTGATTGTCTGAGTCCTTTCTGTCTAATGCATATGATGTTTGCTCAGTATTAAATTAAGTATAACACATATTTTGAATTATGAGTGTCACCTCATAATTATCATCTGTTCATCAGGGGAAGTTCTTTTTCATTTTAACATGAAATGTGTGTGTTTAGACTCCCAGAGAACCAGCAGAGGATCGGGGGCTTCTTCCTGAACATGATGCCCCAGATGAAGATCATTTATGTGGCTTACTGCTCCAACCACCCGTCTGCTGTCAGTGTCCTCACTCAGCACAGGTACACTCACTGGGGGGTGCATGCATTTCTTCTTGTGTGTAGTATTTACTGTGTGCAGAGGTGGGAAGTAGTGGAGTACAAATACTTCGTTACTGTATTTTTCTAGTATCAGTACTTATTTTTCTGACGACTTTTTACTTTTACCTCTTACATGTTGAACCCAAATACCTGTACTTTCTACTTCTTACATGTTGAACACAAATACCTGTACTTTCTACTTCTTACATGTTGAACACAAATACCTGTACTTTCTGCTTCTTACATTTTGAACTCAAATACCTGTACTTTCTACTTCTTACATGTTGAACACAAATACCTGTACTTTCTACTTCTTACATGTTGAACACAAATACCTGTACTTTCTACTTCTTACATGTTGAACACAAAACTTTTCAAAACGGCTCTGTGTTTCATTACATTTATTAGAGCACTTTTTAAGCGCTTAAATCACATATTTAAAAAAAAGTCATAATTTGGGGATTTTTTGAAAAAGTCATAATTTTGATATTTTGAGAAAAATTCAGATTTTGAGAAAAATTCAGGATTTTGAGATTTTTTAGAAAAAGATATCTGAATTTTGAGATCCTGAGATTGAAGCTCAGTAACATGTTTAAGTATTCAGAAAAAGTCCAAATTTTTGGATTTTTGAGAAAAAGTCCTAATTTTGTGATTTTTGAGAAAAAGTCCTAATTTTGTGATTTTGAGAAAATGTCATAATTTTTTGATTTTTGAGAAAAAGTCTTAATTTTGTGATTTTTGAGAAAAAAATCATAATTTTGTGATTTTTGAGAAAAATTCCTAATTTTGTGATTTTTGAGAAAAAGTCCTAATTTTGTGATCAAAAGTCTGAATTTTGATAGAAAGTCTGAATTTTGCGATTTTTAGAAAAAGTCAGAATATTGAGAAAAAGTCAGAATCTTGAGAAAAAGTCATAATTTTGATATTTTTTTGAAAATATTCAGGATTTTTTAGAAAGAGATATCTGAATTTTGAGATCCTGAGATTGAAGCTCAAGCTGGTGACCAGTGATCAGTAACATGTTTAAGTATTCAGAAAAAGTCATAATTTTGTGAATTTTGAAAAAAAATCATAATCTTGTGATTTTTAGAAAGTCTGAATTTTGATAAAAAGTCTGAATTTTGATAATAAGTCTGAATTTTGATAATAAATCAGAATTTTGATCA